ATAAACAAAGATAAAAGGAGTGAGCTCATGCTTGCTTAAGAACCTTCCAAATCTAGCCAATCGAAACCTAACAACCAGAAATTTCAAGGGAAGTTTAATAAGATGAACAATAGGTTCAAAAACAGAGGAACTACGTTCTACAACCAAGAAACTAAATAAGGACCGCCAAAATGCTTCTTGTGTGGTCAGCTAGGTCACTTCAAAAACCGCTGCCCCACATAATAGAAACCCGTAAAATTCAAAGAATAGCGAAAATATAAGCAATATGCGTGAAGTTGTTTGTGTGGTTTTTGAGTGCCTGCTAACAGACCACGACATAAAAGGATGGTGGGTAGACTCAAGCACTAATCGACATATTGCAAGCTCAAAAAGCCTCTTCAAGGACTTTAAAGCAATAAAAGCTGAGGAGAAGCACATCTACAAGGGGAACAATACCTATTATGATGTATTAGGTGTAGGAACTTGTAGCTTGTATGTAGGGGAAATCAACCTTGTATTAACTGATGTATATTTTGTCCCTTGTATGAGGCGAAATATTGTATCTGTCTCATTGCTAATTAGAAAAGGCTTTGAAGTTCGCTTCTGATCATTTAAAGTATAAATTAGAAAGCGTAAACAAATTTATGCTTGGGGACACTTGGCTGATGACCACAACTTGTTCATTCTTCATGTAAATGAGAAAGATGATAATAAAATTTCAACTTGTACTAGTTATGTTGATTGTGTAATTGATTGTCTAAATTGTGGAATTTCCAACCTGTCAACACTACTTGTGAAGAAAAATGACTAAGAAATCATTCAATAAAGGGGAGAGAGTTAATGAGTTATTGAATGTAGTCCACTCTGACATTTGTGGTCCCTCAATGTTAAAACTCATAGAGGGATGTTATATTTCATCACTTTTATTAATGATTTTTTTAGATTTGGATATGTTTATCTAATCCACCATAAATCAGATGCTTTAGAAAAATTTAAAATATATAAAAGGGAGTAGAAACCAATTGGGTAAGAATATCAAAGTTCTTAGAACTAATAAGGGAGGTGAATACAAATCTGAATCAATATTTATTGCCAAGAATATAGTATTAAAAGACATATCACTGTGCCTTATACGCCATAGTAAAATGGAATATCTAAAAAGCATATTAGGACCCTCTTAGAAATTACTAAATCCATTATGACTCATGTTAATCTACCCAAGACCTTTTAGGGAGAAGCAATAAGCACATCCATGTATATTCTTAATAGGGTTCTAACTAAGGCAATAGATTCTACCCCTTATGAACTGTAGACAGGTAGAAAGCCTGATGTAACCAACTGAGAGAAGTGAGGGTTGACTGTGCATGTTCTAATTCCATATAAGCATAGAAATAACGTAGAAAAAAAAACCTCTAGTTTGTAATTTTATAGGATACCTTGAATATTAAAAGGGATATCGATTTTATCATAAAGATAAGAGACTCATTGTAAATAGAGATGCTGAGTTCCTAGAAGATTTTATTGAAGAAAACCTACCTGTAGTGGATAATGATAATACACTTAATATCATAAATGACTTAGAACAACTACCTATAGTGTATATGGATAACCCCGATGAATATGATGATGTTGAAGAATCCACAGACTCAATGTTAAGTGATAAAAAAAAGTCTAGAGCTCCTCCATCATGCCTTGATGATTTCTATATTTATATGAGTGAAGAGATAGACAATCTTATTGACCTAAATGAAATCCATGATCCTTTTGACTTCAATGATGTTATGAGGTTACAAGAATATCAATAATAGCTTAATGCCATGAGAGAAGAATTAGATTTTATTGAGAAAAATAAAGTTTGAGGTCTATGTGATTTACCATCAGATAAAAAACCTATAGGTTCTAAATGGGTACTTAAAAAGAAGTTAAAATTTGATGGATCAATTAATAAATTTAAAGCTAGGTTAGAAGCAAATGGTTTTACCTAAAGAAAGGGAGTCAATTATGTCGACACTTATTCCCCAATTGCAATGTTTATATCCATTAGAATCATTTTGACAATTATTGCATACTATGACCTATAACTTTACCAAATGGATATAAAGACCGCATTCTTGAATGACGAACTAAATGAAATCATCTACATGAGGCAACCTAAGGGCTTCATAATTAAAAGCCAAGAAAATAAAGTATATATATTAAATAAGTCTTTATATGGTTTAAAACAATCTTCAAGACAATGGTATTTAACATTTCATGCTACCATCCCACATATAAGATATGAAGTAAATAGATTGGACCATTGTGTGTATATCTTGAAGAGTGAGAGTAAATTCACAATACTCTCATTATATGTAGATGATATCCTAATAACTGGAAATGAATTAGAAATGATTGATAAAACTAAGTCATGTCTTTCTTCTCGGTTTGAGATAAAATATATGGGAGAAGCATCTTATGTCCTAGACATAAAAATAACTAGAGATTGAAAATAAAAAATATTGTGCTTGAGCTAAGAGGGATATCTTGACTCCTTTCTCAAAAAATTTCAAATGGAAAATGGTAAATGATTGTCTACGCCCGTTGAAAAGGGAGCAAAGTGTCTAAGAATGATTGTCCAGTAGAATGATAAAAAAAACCTCATGTTCCCTATGCACAAGCTATTGGTAGCTGGTATATGCAGTAAGACATACAAGACTAAATTTGAACTATAATGTAGGACTTGTTAGTAGATATCAAAGTAATCCAAGCATATCTCATTGAAAAATAGTAAAAAGAATTATAATATACATTAAGGGAACAACGCATTTAAAATTACATTTTCAAGCAGATAAGCTTGAAGTTATCGAATATTCAAATGCAAATTTTGCTAGGGATATGGATGATAGTAAGTATACCTCAGGGCATGTTTTCCTCTTTGGAGGGGCGGTTGTTTCTTGATCTAGCAAGAAATAAGGGTGTATAGCGAGGTACACATAGGAAGCATAATACATTGCATGTAGTACTGCTTGTACTTTCGTCGTCTGGATAAAACACTTCATAGATGATTCGAAGTTTCAAATAATCGACGAACCAATCCAAATGTTTTATGATAATCAAACTGCAATTAAATCAATTCAAATTAAAGCAAATAGCTCAAAATGAAGATATATAGATGCCCAATATCATTACATTCAGTATGCAGTTGAGAAAAATGAAGTAACTGTTAATTATTTGCCCTCAACAAATATAATGTTGATCCATTAACAAATGATCTAAGTGTTAAACTACTGTCTAAGCACATTAGCTTAACGAGACTTAAAAATGTTTAAGCCAGACAATTTTTTCATGTATGACAAATCCACATTAGCGTGAAAATCCTCATGAATTATGAGAGGTATATCTGCGAAAGCGTGAGAAAAATCTCATAACAAGATATTTTCATAAAGGTCATACTCAAAAGTGGGAATATTGCATGTAACATATTGTTATGCTCGACCGTCATAACCAAATGGGAGATGTTAACACGTATGGCCATGAAGCCTCACATGATCTTGTCTACAATTGAGGGTTTGGATCCCACGTTTCATTATAATTATCCAATCATAAAAGTGTAAATAATTGTCTATATTATAAAATTATTTTCTCCAACGTTCATGTGGATGAGTATCCTGAGATCAAGAAAGATCTTTTCTCAGAGACGCGTTAGAGAAAAATGAATGTTAGCCCTTCTTCTCCCTATAAATATGGGAAGCCAGAAGAGGAAGATACAATATATATATATATATATATATAGAGAGAGAGAGAGAGAGAGAG